AAAAAAGTTCTATGATAAGTACTTTAGATTTAATTAAGGATAAAAATCTTTGATTCTAATTTTTATAAGCCGAGCTTTTGGTGTTCCTGTTTGTTTTTAAAATAAGGCATAATTTCATGAACAATTATGTGGACACAGTTTATTTTGTGGAAGGATTCATCATAATTTTATTTGTGTAAGCTACCCTATTACTGCCATGTTGTTGTTGTTAAGTGCTGTCGAGTCAATTCTGACTCATAGCAATCCTGCATAGGGTTTCTGAGGAGTGACTCATGAGTTTGAAAGGTCAACCCGCAGTTCAGTCCAGTGCCTTTCATATAGCACCATGTCAGGACTCCAATAGTGCCACAGTGTTATTATTTTTTAAAATTAATTTACCTGTAACTTGTATTTAAGGAGCTCTGGTAGTTTAGTGGTTATGAGTTGGGCTGCTAACGTCAAGGTCAGTAGGTCAAAACTACCAGCCATTCTACAGGAGAAATATGAGGCTTTCTGCTCCCATAAAGATTTACAGCCTTGGAAACCCTGTACAGGGTTGCTATGAGTTGGAACCGACTCCACAGCACACCACCGCCGCCACATAAATAGTATTTGAGAGTGCGGTAGCTCTGTAAGATAAGCACTGGACTATGAACCACAAAGTCAGAGGTTTAAGTCCACCAGCTGCTCCATGGGAAAAAAATGAGACTTTCTGTTCCTACAAAGATTTACAGGGTTACTGTGAGTCATAACTTACTCGATGACACTTAACAGTACTACAACAACATAAGTATTTAAGCAACATTTAATACAGTAAATAAATAAAACTATAGTGGTAGCTATATGGGGATGTGAAAATGAAGATATTTGATATATAAATAACCTTAATACTATCTAGTTTATCAAAGTTGCTTATAATGGTAGATTTAAGTTTACCTTAGGTTTCCTGTTCTTGGAAAGCTAGACTTATCTTTAATATTTTGGCTTCAAGTGAACAGAGTAACAATTAAGTATTTGTTTTTTGCTTTATCTATTGAACAACATAGACAATAAAAAATAGTGATCCTTTGTCAGGACAATTAATGAGGAAACCATCTTTGAATGCCCATAACTCCAATTAAAAAACAGAGCAACACAAGGCCTCATAGCTATCTGTTGAAGATTTTGGCTGCTTATTGGCATGCCACCTATTGGGAACTTTAATGAAATTCAAACACATTTTTGTTAAAATAGAGTAGTTGTTTTAATAAGCCAAAATAATAAACACAAATTTTTTTTTTTTTGCTACTTAAACACAGACAAATTAGCCACAAGATTTAAAATTAATGTTAGTCTATCCTGTTTCATATTTTCCCTCTTTGGGATATGTATTGGTTATTGCAGAGTGCTTACCACAAGGTTGGCAGTTCATCAGACTTACCACTCACTCCTTGGAAACACTATATAGGGTCACCGTAAGTTGGAACAACTCAATGGCATTATTGCAGAACTGGAAACTTATTTCATCCCAGGATGACAATGTGAATTGTGAATATGATAGATTCTTCAGTATCTTTAATAGACTGTGCATCCACTTGAAGGTTATAAAGTGCAATGTAAAGAGGCCATCTGAACGAGTCTCATATTTGTGAAAGGGAGGTACTGTGAGTGCGTGTGTTTTCAAAGGGTTGCAAGGACCGTCGTAAGTCCTGCCTATGGCTCTCTAACCCATCCTTGATCAACTTCCAGTAATGGTTATTATTTTAACCCTTTTCATATCCTTTCTAGTTGCTGCCTAGTAACTCATGGTGACTGCATTCTTTTTAAGAGTAGAGCAATACTCCATAGGAGTTTCAAGGCTGTGACCTTCAGAAGAAAATCTTCAGAAGTTTGTTACAAAGCACCTATGGGTAGATTTGATCTGCCAACCTTTTTTTAGTAGTTGAGTGCCTAAACATTTGTGTAACCCAGGGTTACAACACAAGAACATAGCTCTTCAGATATTTGAAGACGACTTTGCACTCCTCCTTCCAAACACCTACTTGTCTTTCTTTAGCAATATACTCCTTGTTTGTTCATTAATTCTTCAGATGACATAGAACTGAGGCCCTTTATTATCCCGGCCTTTCTTGTCAGATGGTTCTATTTATTTTAATAAATACTTGTATTTTATACTTTAGCTATATATTTCATAAAAT